TGGAGATGTGGACAAGGGAACTTATCTCTTGTTTCTTGATCTATTTTTTCCCCTTATGTTACTGAGGATGGAACCCAGGATCTTACACTGAGCTACATACCTAGCTGAGATGTCATCTTTTCTTCTTTGATTCATCTGTCCATCATAAACTTTGAAGAGAACGATAGTCTTCCTCTTCAAACAAAATCAGCCCAAATTATTTCTACCTTTCTAGCTCTAATTTCTCCTTTCTCATATTGTTTGCTTTCCACTCAGAATATTTTTGAGCAACAAAATATTACCAAACAACTGATTAGTCATATTGTCTTGCTCCTGTTTCTGCTGTGTTTTCATTCTTGTCATTACAGGTGTATTTTTGCAATAGGCATTTCAGTTCTGCTTAGAAACACACCCATTTCTTTCTCAAGAATTTTGAGGTGACAGTAGATGAATGGATCAAGAAAATGTGGTATATATACACAATGGAATTCTATGCCTCCATCAGAAAGAATGACATTGCCCCATTTGTTAGGAAATGGAAAGGCTTGGAAAAAATTATATTAAGTTAGCCAGGCCCAAAGAAACATAGGTCCCATGGTTTCCTTTATTTGCAATATCTAGTATATGTATGAGTCAAGCAGAAAAGGTCAGATAATGTGATGTGAGGAAAATGAACCCTTAGATATGTATTTAAATTTTTTTTCTTTCATGCATGTGTTTCTAATGCATTTACAAGATTATTTCTTTGTTGCTTTGTATGTCCCTCCCCCACAGTATAACCCCTGCTTTCACTATATTTTATGTCGGTATAATTTGTGGAGGAGATGGGGAAAAACAAGTCGTTTAAGGATACAGGTGGACCCGTTGCAACTATGAGAAGTACAAGTTGTCATGTTGAAAACGAGCTTTACAACTTTGGTGCAGGGAGGGGGGGAAGGATTGGGTGGAGGGGCGGGGGGAGGCTGGGAAGGGATGTGAAGGGTAAAAAAAGGAGGAGGCTAAAATGCTTGATAAGAAATGTACTCATTATCTTGCCATGTAATTGCAACCCCTCTGTACAGTATGTTCACAAAAAATTAAAATTAAAAAAAAGAATTTTGAGGTGAGATTATAATAGACTTTATTTTTATAATATTTTAACCCACTAACACACATAGAAAAAATCAACAGTAAGCTATAATAAATCTCTTCTTCTTAATAATTAGGTTAAATACTTCAAATAAAAAAAATACATAGGCAGGGGTAGAAGAAAACAACAGTAAGCTATAAAAACTATTTTCCTATCAGTAATTGCTTTAAATGTAAATAAATTGAACACTTCCATTAAAAGACGTCTGTTGGCTGAGTGGAAAGAAGAAAAGATCCTGCAGAATGCTAACTGAATTCATGCTCCAAACATATACAAGATCTATGTGAAAGGATGGGAAATGGTCACCAAAATGGCCTCCAAAACAAGCAGAATGACCACAATGTTTGTAACTATATAGGCATTCAGTGAAAAGCTGTCACAGCAGATCAAAATGAAGACCAATTTACCTTAAAAATAAGCTCATAATAAATCAATATGCAGCCAACCTCAGAGTCCAAACAACCTGACACACACACTAGCACTGTCATAACTGAAAGAAGTAGTCAGCAACACTATGATAGGTGTGTTTAACATTCTACTACTAATAATAAAATATCCAAAGAGACATGAGAAACATGATAGACCAATATTCAGGTACTCTATATTCTGACACCAGAATACTTTCTTCTCAAGCACACATGAGACCTTGTCAGGATATATCATATATTAGGCCACACACACACACACACACACACACACACACACACACACACACATCCATATTCTACCTTCACATTCTTGTCTGTATGTAAGACATTAATATTTGGAACATCTTTGAAATCACTCAACATATATACTTTGATCTGTGACTATTCGAAAATTTTCAGGACACAGACTGGGAACTAATTCAACAAGCAAAGGAGAAAATATGTCTTCCTTGTATCCAGCATTTAAAAAACAAAAAACCAACTTCCAAGAAAACTTTCAAGCAGCCTAATGTACAAATGATGAAAACCTGCTTTCCAGTCACTGCCTTGAGAAAGGGCCTGTTTTTCTAACACCAAAGCTGTTTCCGAGAAACTAAGTTTGTTAGCTTTCACTTTCAAACTTAGGTTTGTCCAAACTGAAAGTTGTTTCAAGTTGTCCTGAATTAACACCAGAAATCTCTTGCTCATGAATAAAAACAGATAAGCAGGGCTGGGAAGGTGGCTCAGTGGTAGAGTGCTTGCCTTGCATGCCTAAGGCCCTGGATTTGATTCCTCGTACCACATAAGCAGAAAAAGCCAGAAGTGGCGCTGTGGCTTAAGTGGTAGAGTGCTAGCCTTGACCTGAAAAGCTGAGGGACAATGCCAGGCCCAGAGTTTGGGCCCTATGACAAAAAGACCAAAACAAAACAAAACAAAAAAAGTCCAGAGAGTTTAAATTTTTGCAAGGCTAGACATACTTCAAAAACAGGAACAGTTAGGAGCTGGGAAGGTGGCTCAGTGGTAGAGTGCTTGCCTCACATGCATGAGGCCCTGGGTTCAATTCCTCAGCACTACTTAAGCAGAAAAAGGTGGAAGTGGCATTGTGGTTCAAATGGTAGAGCACTAGCTTTGAGCTGAAGAGCTGAGGGACAGCGCCCAGGCCTAAAGTTCAAGCCCCATGACTGGAAAAAAAACCAGGAAAGCGTTAAAGGAGAGACTTATATTCATAGCAAGTTTCAGTCCACTTTAGCAAAATTCAGAGCCATAAAGGGGAACAGACTTTGCAGAGATGTTTTTTTCCGGTCTGGCATCCACATATTATAAGAGAAAAACTTCATCTTTCATGAACATAGTCACTTTCACCGTGCCGATTCAGTCAATCAAAAACAAAAACCTTGTTCAGGGCTTATGTGGCAGAGGTTTTGATTAAGCAGTCGGAAAGAGAGAGAAAGCCCTGTCTTCAAGGAGCTACATTCTAGCAAGTTGTAAAGAACATTGTAAAGCAGATGGAAAGTCAAACAACTATAACTCTTATGCAGAAAAATGAAGCAGAGAAGAGGAAGATCAGGAGCTTGCACATTAGACTAAAAGAATTTTGCAAGAGGATTAGGAAAAGCATCAATAAAAATGATACTGAACACCTAAGGCATAAAGGAGTTTGTCATCTGGATATCTCGGGTAAATGCGTAAATGCGAGACTTTGCCTACCACGTCTGAAAGACTACAGGAGTGACAGCTGTTGATCAGATAAGACTCATCTTATCTTGTCTATATTCACTTAGGAAAACATGGGTTTTATTCATCTTAAAGCAAAAACCTGAAATGAGTCTAGGCCCCTTCTTTTTTTTCAGTCCTGGGTTTTGAACTCAGGGCCTAGGCACTGACCCTGGCTCATTTTGCTCAAGGCTAGCACTCGACCACTTGAGGAGCTGCAATACCACTTTCAGCTTTTCCTGTGATTAATTGGAGATAAGAGTGGGAGTGGGGCTGGGAAGGTGGCTTAGTGGTTGAGAGCTTGCCTCGCATGCCTGAAGCCCTGGGGTCAATTCCTCAGTACCACATACACAGAAATGGTCAGAAGTGGCGCTGTGGCTCAAGTGATAGACTGTTAGCCTTGAGCAAAAGAAGCTCAGGGACAGTGCCCAGGCCCTGAGTTCAAGCCCAAGGACTGACAACAACAACCAAAAAAAGTCTCATAGACTTTCCTGCCCAGGCTGGCTTCAAATCACCAAGTAGCCACCAGTGCCTGACTCTAGGCCCCTTTTCACAGACATGTCCACCACAGCCACTGCTGGGGTTAGAGGTCAATTCAGAAGGTGTGTCAATGCAATGGGTGCAACTGATCCATCCGCACCTCTTCCACTCTCAATGCTGAGACCTACGTGACGCTCAGGCATTGCCCAGTGTGCCAGTTAATGACCAGTTCCATGCTTTCCAAAGAACCCCAGTATGCAGAAGTTAGTGAAACATGCCCAGAATTTGCTCCTGCAGCTTGTCTTAGGACACAGTTGACTTCCATCATCTCCCACCTCCACCATCCATTCTGGATTTTCCACCTCTCTTTGGACCAAACAACAGGGATCTCGCTGAACCATCTTTTTAAAATAGGGGCTAAGCATGTAGCTCAGTGTAGGGCATATGCTTAACAAAAACAAAACCCTGAAATTGGATTCCTAGCACCACAAAATAATGAACATAATTTTTAAAACTTAAAAGCAATTTGAGCAAGCACTGGTGGCTTATGCCTATAATTCTAGCTACTCAGGAGGCTGAGAGCTGAGGATTGCGGTTCAAAGTCAGCCCAGGCAAGAAAGTCTGTGAGACTCTTATCTCCAATTAACCACCAGAAAACCGGAAGTGGCTCAAGTGGTAGAGCGCTCTCCTTGAGCTAAAGCACCCAGGCCCAGAGTTCAAGCTGACAAAAAAACAAGGTAATTTGTCAACCGACAAAAAAACAAGGTAATTTGAACTATGTACTTAAAAGTATTTATTTACAAGACTAATCATCATCATACCACCACCACCCCCCAAAAAATATAACTTGAAAGCAACTTATTCAACAACTTTGGGTCCATAAAGGTGAGCTTATGTTCTCAGAAGGAAATTAGTAGCACACAACACTTTACCCTAACTTTAAGGGTTTATGATGGTATATTCAGTCTCCTACACCATTTTCCATAATAGTCACGTTGTGGTTGGCCCTTGACATACTGTTCAGTAGCATGTTGAATCACCATAAACAGTTTCACTTTGTTGAATAAAGATATATAGGTGGAAATCTGATAGAAACAATTATTTCAGGTTTCTCTATAAATAACTTCAGAATAATGGCAAATTGACTAGTGCTTGTCTAGTCTCATTGAAAATCAGCAATAGTGGAGCACTGTTTAGAATCTAGTTTATTTAACACCTCGCTTTGTAGATTTTTGTTGATCAGTTCATTCTGATCTATTTCAGGGTCAGATGTTACAACTTTTTTAAAAAAATTGAAACTTTATCAGGAAGTGGTGCAAAAGTCACAGACATCAAGTAGTTTCAGAAGTGTCACTACTGCAAAAGAAAAAAATAGAATGAAGAATGAAGTATCTCAGTAGCAATGTATTAGCTGCAGAGCAAGCAGGCACTGTTAGAGACATATTCCTGTACTGTCATCTTCAGAGTTTCCTTTTTCTTTACTTTCATATAAAACTTCACAACAGAAGCTGACTGTGCCTAGAGCTGTTCTTCAACAACATTTTAGTCTGTTACCATGTTAGCCTATCAACATGGCCTTGAGTCAAGTATGCCACAAAAAGTATCTACAATCTTTCTTTCCTAAATTGTGACCATAAACAGTATGATCAGAAATGTGCAACTCTCCAAGTGCCATCCTGTATAAATATGTACAGGTTCTTGGAAGAAAACCTTCAGGTTTCTTTTACTCAGAAAGGGTATTGTTTTGGAAATAAATCCCCTGATCTTGTTTCCTATTTGCAGGAGGTAATGAATCATTATCCTATCTTAATTTTTGGCTGTGCTAGTTTGGGTCTGACATTTACCTAAATGTAAACACATTTTATTCAGTGACGGTCTATGTTTTATGGTGTTTTGGATTTAGATAGCATTATCAATGCTACATACTTAGAAACTGTACTCTACTCTTTTTGGTCAAGTGTGTGAGAAATTTAAGTTACTGCTACAGATGTGTACAAGTTCAAATGTTTACAAGTACAATGAAGCTCTGAGCTTTTCTTTGTTATCATTTTTAGTAGCAGTAATAGTAATAGAATTCTTCATTAAAGTTTATTCTTGTGTTCTGTTTCTTCTTGAGAGAATTCTAGCAGTTGTATAACTTCAGAAGGTCCAGTTCTGCCACCACTGCACAAGCAGAGTGCCTGAAGAAGACAAGGTTTCCTTAGCAACCACCTACATTCTGGAAGATGGGAAGCCCAGGCCTGCAGGCTTCTTGTGAAGCAATGTTTTCAGTACCAGGCAGCTGGCTATCAGGGTAAATTCCTTAGTCTGGAGAAATGAACAGTCTGGAAGCAGAGTGTGAACATCTTATCTTGGTTCAAAGGTCACAGAGCATCTGGGCCTGTGAACCTAGGTAAATATTATTGAGACAAGCTTCTTGTTTGAAGGTCTGTATGCCTGTCTTCCTTATATCTAGTCTATGTTTTATACTTTGTTGATAATGGCTTTTGCTTTGTGACCTTTCCTGTAACTTGAGAACTGAGAGTGCACAGGGCAAGGGTTGATACATTTTAACAACACAATGGTTAGTTACAACATCAAGAAGGGGCTGAAACAAAGTTATAGGGCTTCAGTCTGTGAATAACATCTTGTGATTTTAATTAGCAGACAAACATTGAAAGAATAAACCCATAGCCCATTTTATTTCTGTTAGATCAATAGCAATGTCTATTGTTTCATTCCTAACTTGAGTTTTCTGAGATGTTGTTGTTTGGAACAGTTTAGCTAAGAGCTAGCTGTTCTGTTATGGTTTCAAAAGTGAGGTTTTGAATCTGGACCCAGGATGTGGGTAGCTGAGGTAAGAAGAACACAAATTTGAGGCTAGATTGGACTGCATAATAAGACCCTATCTCGAGAAAGAAAAAAAGCTTATTATAGTTTTATTTATTTTTATCTATTTTTTCTATGCTCAACTCCTTTCATTATTATCTTTCAATATTTGTACAAAAGAGGTGCCATTTATGAACCCCAAGATAAGGATTCAAATGTTTTTTTTTCTTTCTTGCAATTGTTTCTAACATATTTATAAGATGATTTTTTTTGTTGCTTTGTATGTCCCTCCCCCCAGCATAACCCCTGCTTTCACTGTATTTGATGATGGTATAATTGTGGAGGGGAAGGGAAAAAACAAAATGTTTAAGTAGGGATACAGGTGGACCCATTGCAACAATGATATGTACAAGATGTTTTGTAGAAACAAAGAACTTTACAACTTTGGCGGGGATTGGGGACAGGGGAAGGGAGAGGAAGGGGAAACAAAGGAAGAAGCAACAATGCTTGATAAGAAATGTACTCATTACCTTGCCCATGTAAATTGTAAACCTTCTGTATGGTATTTTCACAATAAAAAAGAGGTGCCATTTAACAAAGCAGTTTATGAATCTATCTATCTATATATATATTATATGCAAAACCTGAAATTTATATTTAACTCCAATGAGATGCAGAATTGTTACTTTTATGACTATATATCTCTATTGGCCCTCTCCCAATTTTGTGCTATAATTATCTACATATTAACTCTGTATGTTTTGACAATTAGTAAAATACTTTATATAACTAATTGCCTCTATGTGTGTGTGTGTGTGTGTGTGTGTGTGTGTGTGTGTGTGTGTGTGTGTGTGTGTGTGTGCCAGTACTGGGGCTTTAAATCAGGGCCTCACATTCTTGCTTGGCTTTTTTGCTCATCATTGGTACCCTTGAGACGTGCCTCCAGGTTTTGGCTTTTCTGCTAGCTATTTGGTGATAAAGGAGTCATGAATTTGTCTGCCTGGGCTGGCCTCAAACTTCAGTTCTCACATTATAGCATCCTGAGCAGCATGAGGCACCAGGTTAGCTAATTTAATATCTTTCAAAGAAGCTTAATGAGAAAGTTTAACTATGCAGTGCTTTGTTACAATTGCTTGAGTGGAACTGGGCAAGAATGGAAGCACTAGGATGTCATCACATTCACTAAACGAACACTGGTAACCTGCTCTCCAATGAGGTATCTTGCTGCTGCTTGGAAATAAAAACAGCCCTGTCTTTTGGCCAAACCCACTAAGAGTAGAGCTTGCAATGGGAAGAAAGCAAGTCATGAGTAAAGTGCCACACTCGTTGGTCACTAGAGTCATAAGAAGTCATCTAGAAGAACTGTTTCAATGTGGTCGTATCTTTTAAGTCAATCTGCAGGAACTTTAAATTTATTTCTGTCAGAAGCAAGATTGAAAAAAGTAAGTTAAATGACATTAAAGTAGCCCTTAAAGAAGCCAAAAAATAAGGAGGGATAGGCAAAGTTTTGAATAAAGTTACTTTATAGCTCATAATTGTAATCCCATCTACATGAGAGGCTAAAACTGGTAGAATCAAGTTTGAGAGTAGCTTGGGCAAGAAGTTTCAGTGACCACAGTTCAACCAATAAAAGCTGCGTGAAGTGTCATGTGCCTGCCATACCAGCTATGTGGGAGAGGTAAATAAGAGGACTGCCACCCAGGGAGCAGTCAGAAATGTGAAACTGTAGCCCACAGGGTTAAATGTGTGGCTTAAGTGAAAGAGTACTTGCCTAGCAAGTACAAAGCCATGAGTTCAAACCACAGTACTTCCAAATATAAAAATGCACACACACATATATCACATATATTACAACATGTAAATAAAAAGATAGTGCACATGCATCATATGTACATGTGATATAAAATTCATGTATGTGTATGCAACTGAGTTAACAATAAATGTTTAGCAGAGACACTTCTGAATTTCTTCTACACTTCAAAATTTATATATTCCAACTATTAAACAATGTGTGGTTCGTATGATGTTCAGAGTTGTTTTATATTTGGTCATTGAGCTGCTTTCCATTTTCTGTCAAGCCCATTGTAGATTGCGGATAATTTCCTGAAACTGAGAGCTTAAATTTCAGGCAAAGTAATCAAAACAAAATTAAAATGTGGTAGAGATCGAAAAAAGGGCCATGATAGACTTCTCTAAAAACATGCCTATTTGCAGAGACCTGAAGTGCTGCATGAAAGAACCAGGCTTGAGAGCTTTAGGAGAAGAAAAACGTTGCTCGCACAAAGACCTCCAAAGCAAGAATAATGTGGACATTTCACAACAACTGAATCTCCCGTGAATCTCAGTAAGTACTACTTACTCAGATGTCTTTTAACAGATCATAGCAAAAAGGGAAAAGAAATGAGAGCACTTGTCAAATCCCAGATGCTGGTATCTCCACTGAGCTGAAAAAAAAATTAGCGTATCAGCAGTGGGGAAAGAAAGAACATAGAATTTAAAATTAAACAGAGTTTGTTTTGTTTACCATCATTCTGACTTGGTTCAGGAACTTGGGCAAAAATAAACTTAGCCTCTCTCTGTCAGATAGGTGTTACTATTTTTTTTAATATGTAAAGTCTGGTATTTTATACAGAAAAAAAAATAGCTTTAAGTATTGGAAGCTGAAAGTCCAACATTGGGTGGCCCCCTCTGGTGAGAGCACATTGTATCCTTTATTGCATTGTGGGTGGGGTCTTGTTAAGGCTGACATGTGGGACAGAGATGTTGCATGTTGTTGCACAATGTCGCACAATGAGAAGGGTGGGGGGCAGTGGCACTACCTTAAAAAAAAGCACACTTGTGACGTTTCTTAACTACAAACATCACCCCTCTGTATGTCACTTTTAAAATAACAATAAGAAATAAAACAAAAACCCAAAATCCCCAAACACAGCCACAAGAAACATGTTGATCTCTTTTAGATGAAAGTGAGGTTGATGGGGTACATGTATGTATGTATGTGTATATGTATGCTTGTATGTATATATGTATGTGTATGTATGTATATATGTATGTGTGTATGTGTGTATATGTATATATGAAAAACCACAGTGAACCTCCCCTTGAATGACTAATATATGTTAATAAAAATGTTTAAAATAAAGAAAAGGAACATTTGGAGGCCATGTTCAAGCCACATCTGATCACAGACCCACCCTCTGAACTCCCCTTCTATTGAGAAATAGAAACAATACTATTTATTCAGAATGATTATAGTCAGAACTTCATTTCATCTGTAATATATCAAGCTGAATGATCTAAAACTAAAATCCATTCTTTTTACAATTATTTATGCAGCAAACAGAAGCAACAGGGAGGCCATTCAAGAAGCAGTTTGGAATCAAAATGGCTTGGATACAGATTGATTACAGTGCTATGATTTAATAAAGAGCTCATTTTCTATAAAATCATGAGAAATACCTGTTTTCAATTTTAACATGCTCTTTCCTACGCTGACAGTATCTCTAAAAGCATCGTTAGCTCTACTGCGAATGGATCTATTGTTTCCAGAAATCAGACCTCTTGAACTGATCCCCCAACTTTGAGGAAAATTTGATATTTTCTGTATCTCTAGGGCATTTCTTAAAAGAGAAGATGCTTTCAAAGATTTCTTTTATTCCATCTAAATTACAAATATATGTAAATTACAGGGTCAAGTGAATACTTACAAGAATATATTCACTAAAGTATGTTATATGCTTTAGTTATATATTAACTACGTAGTATGTTATATACATAATGGTGTAACTCCTTTGAACAACTAACTTACAGTTTAACAAAATGGATATCACCAGGAAGCTGAAACATGTATTATGTGAAGACGTGGTCAGGGGAGGGAGGGCAGACAAGAGGAGAAAGGAAGGGTGGGTGAATGCAGTCCTAACTCTCAGTGTACACATGTGAAAATGAAGCCAGGTAAATGGAAGGGATGAGTGAGATTGGGAGAGATGGGGGAGGATGATGAAGGGTGACACTGATCAGGATATATTGGCTCACACACAGGCACATTGAATTGAAACTCCTTTGTGCAACTACTTACTGGTAACTTTTTTTTTATTACTTCCAACAAACAGTTTTGAAGGTTCTGGTTGAGACTTTCTAGCTCCTCCTACCAGGCAGGCTTAGGAAAGCAGCTACACTTGTTAATTCATAGCCCAGACTAAGCACTTTCAGTTTCCCATTACTCTAAACTCTTGCTGTTCTTGTAATGATTTGTTCATACAAGAAAATCCAGGAAGCATCTGGGAGGAGATAAAAGAGAACTGGGTAGCCATTCCATCCAGACTGCGGGCAAAGCTCAGGTAAGAACACTGCCTCCTCTGCTTACAGGGCTCTCTATCCATTTCTGAAGGAGCTCTATCAGGAAAATTATGATTTTATGGTTGGGGCAGAAGTGAGAAAGATTTATAAAGGCCAGTTCATCTTCTTGAAAACTACCGAGACCACAGGCTGCTGCTGAAACCGGGCAGGACGCAAAGGTGAGTTGACATTTGGCTATGTCAGGGCAGTACTGGGTTGGTGTTGAATATATAGCTTTGGATGTATCAGTGCAAATACCTGCTTAGTGTTGAGTTAGGCATCAACCTTCAGGCTTCACCGAAGGGTGAAAGGCATCAGGATGGCTTTCTCCTTGTTCAAAATTGTCTCTATCAACTATTGACAGAGGGTCACTGATGAGCTAGCCTCTCTGTGTCCTGCTACAGCTGAGAAATGGAAAGAACTACCTGGGCTCAACCCAGCATCCTTTGTAATCAGCGATCTTCTGTTAGAAGTGGTGCAAAGACACTCTTTTCTCAGTGTCCACTCACTCCTCGGCCCTCCCAGTGGAATGAATGCAGGTCCAGCACTTCACGAAAGTCTTTCTCTAAAAGAATCTCCTAAAAGTGTCAGTACTAAGGGCGGCATCTCTGTTTACCTTACCCTCCTCATAACCTGGGACAACTTGCCCTGCCTTCTGGAAATTGTTCATCTGAATTCCCGGCTGGACACTAGCCTCATTTATTGCCGTCTTATCTAGTAGCACTCAGCACCATCTCTCTTGTGATAATTTGTTTTCCTCCACTCATTTTCTTCCCCTCCTTCTAGGCCTCTACCAAAGAGAAGAACAAAAGAGAAAGGCTGAAAGTTCATGGTAGAAAATACAAACGTCTTCTTTGAACCACTTTCTAGCTCTCTCGGTTTGCTTCCTGATTTCGTAATCTCCATGTCATAGTTATTTTTTGCACATCTAGTATTTGCAATGGTGCATTTGCACCTCATTTTAGTTAGGTTTTCTGTGAAACTAACGAAGCTTACATTTCTTAAGTTGCTTTGTTTGCACAGGCCTATTCCAAAGAAAGGTCTCTAATTATAAAAATCAGGTGTTTTTTTTTAAGTTGTGTTGATTTCACTTCTGGAATGGCAATGTGGAAAGTTCTCTGAAGCCTTAAGGCAATAAAACAAGCATACATTCTTTGGGTAGGAGAGAGAAATGGACTTCAAAATTCCTAGAAATTATTCCAAGGGTACACATCAAATAATAAAGCATTTATTTTTATGGATCTCTATCCATTAGAAGAGATAATGGATAAACAAATCAATTATTAACTTCTTGCATATTATTGAATTGGGAAATAAATTCTCTAAATCCTATTCTAGTTTAGATTTGATCTCATATAAGGTTCCTTTTGTCTCTTTCTCTCTCTTTCTCTCTTTCTCTCTTTCTTTCTTTCTTTCTTTCTTTCTCTCTTTCTTCTTTTGTGCCAGTCCTGGGGCTTGATCTCAGGGCCTGGGCATTATCCCTGAACTTTTTAATTATTATTTAATTATTATGATGATTATGATGAAGGTCATGTATAGAGAGATTACAGTTACATAAGTCAGGTGGAGTAATTTTTTTTTGGACAATGTCACCCCTTCCTATGCTCTCTCCAAGTTTTTCCCTCCCATCCCCACCCACAAGTCCCTGCATGTTTTTGCTAAAAGCTAGTGCTCTATTACTTGAGCCAGCTTTACTTCGGGCTTTTTAGTGATTAATTAGAAATAACATGCTTCATAGCCTTGCATGCCCCAGATGGCTTTGAACTGCAATCCTCGGATCTCAGCCTCCTGAATAGCTAGGAGCCATTTTATTATTTTTTTAGTAAGAATTAAAAAGGTAAGATTTCTTCAACAAATTGAATGGCATGCTTGCTTCTGAGAGCAGGTGAAAGTTTATAACTCACCTTCATAGAGATGCCTTTTCTTTTTCCTTTAACCAATGAGGGGTTTCATTACTTTGCAACCCACCAAGAACAAAACAACAAAATAACAGGCCAACTTGTGTGGCTGTTCCACAAAGTTATCAAAGACTCAGCCTTTTTTTTCTTTCTTTTTTTTTGGGGGGGGGTCTGGTTGTGGGGCCTGAACTCTGGGCCTGGGCGCTGTCCCTCAGCTCTTCAGCTTAAGGCTAGTGCTCTACCACTTGAGCCACAGCACCACTTCCAGCTTTTTTCTTTTTTCTTATGTGGTGCTGGGGAATCGAACCCAGGGCCTCATGCATGCAAGGCAAGCGCTCTACCACTGAGCCACCTTCCCAGCCCAGACTCAGCCTTTTCTATCTTTGCAGCAATGCTTTTCAATACTCCCATAACTCCCTATAATAATTTTTCCCTTACCTACCTCACTGACACACATAAAAGTTTTCTTTCATGCTTGGAATTTAGGATTTACCATCTAACTACAACAGAATGGAAACTCTCATTCTTGCCCCCCTTCCTTGCAGACAACTGACAACCCTCAACATGGATTCCGAGATCCAAATGCCAGCCCCCGTGTGCCTCATCGAGAATGTAAAAGGAAAACTGCTGGCTAATCAGGAAGCTCTGGACATCCTGTCGACCATCCCACAGCCTGTGGTGGTGGTGGCTATCGTGGGCCTCTACCGCACAGGCAAATCCTACCTGATGAACAAGCTGGCTGGGAAGAAAAAGGGTGAGTGCTACCTGCAAAGCCTGGATGACCCCTTTTGTTCAATCACATTGTCAGAACGCAGCAAGGGCATGTGAGAGGAAAAAGTAAAGGACAGAAATGGATAGCAAATGATATTCTTCCACGTACAGTTGGAATTTTGACTTTTTTTTCTTGGAGGACAGTAGAGAGTGATTTATAAGAACAAATGCACCTCAGGAGATGAAACAGTCAATTCAAAGAAGGATTGACTGCCTAAACATACCCAATATGCTTCAGGGGATGAGGGGAGCACTGGGACTTAGGGTTTTATCCAACTGGTTGACGTTACTAGGTGGTCAGAACCTCCCTTGTGGCCCTCCCTAAACCGCTGTCCACTGTGCAGATGCTGCCCCAGTGTGGAAGGGTACATGATTGTGCACTTGACCTTTTTTGCCCTTCCACTTGATGCTCTTTGTCCTTTCTGGTTTACTCCTGACTACATAAGGAGAATATAGGGTCATTAGCTTACTTATTAGCTCAGGGTGTGGGCCATCCTGGAGATCGATAGTCTGAAAAGTTTCAGCATTCTTGCTCATGTCTTCCTATCTGACTAGGAGCTCAGGATCAACCCAGCACTTCTGAGTTTCCCCTATACTCCACTGGCTGAGATCTGAGGATCACAATTCAAAGCCAATCTTACCTCCAATTAATCTCTCTCGCTCTCCCTCTCTTTCTCTCTCTCTGTCTGTCTGTCTGTATCTCTCTGTCTCTCTCTCTCTCACACACACACACACACACACACACACAAGCTGGAAGTGGAACTAGAGTTCAAGTGGTTGAGCACCAGCCTTGAGCAAAAAAGCTAATGAACAGCATCCAGAACCTGAGTTCAAGCTCTGGTACTGACACCTCTGTGTGTGTGTGTGTGTGTGTGTGTGTGTGTGTGTGTGTGTGTGTAAATCCAATCCAAGCAAGCAAGCAAACTCAGGATCCTGATTTCCTTGGGGGTATGGACCCTGATCTCAGGTTCCAGAGTCTTGCTTTCTGTCAGGAACTGGAAAGTCAATTAGGCTTTAGAAAAGATGGCTGCCAAGAATATAGCCCTCCCATTGTTGAGCCACTAGGTTGTTATGAAATGAAACAACTATCATAATACTGACAACCCTCAGGTTGTTCAGAGGTTCAGAGCAAGAAATTTAATAAGAATGTTCAAAATTAGATGTTCAAATGAGATAGTTTGCAGCATTTCGAGTTGAGACTGGAGTCTGTATAACAAAGCAGATTGGATACATGACTAGGCTGAGATTCGCCAGGATAAGAAAGTTGTCCTATTATTCTGGGAATTCAAGGAGATCTGAGAAAGCAATAGGTCAGATAAAGAAGACATGCAAAATGGATCTAGAATATATGCAAGTCTTTGTAAGAAGTCACTGCTGTTTGGGGAAAAAAACAAAAAACACTTCTAAGTATCAACTGTAACCCTCGTGTTTAAACATTTCTCAATCTTGAGAGAATTTGGATGTCTGCCAGGCTAGCGTTGGAGTTTCCAGGGCAAGGTCAAACTAGAACAGAAGGGGGAAATGTTGCAATGGTGGAAGCATTCAACTGAAAAGAAACCATTGTTTAGCTCTAAAGATATAAGAACTACTTTCAATCTCCAACTAGCCAAGCTGTTTCAGCCTCACTAGTGCTGAGATTGTAGGCCTGCTCTACCACATATGGCTTTGATGCCATTTTTATTCTGCCAGCATCATCTTATCGCTGGACAATTTTTCTATGAAAATATTGTTAATTGATCACTCTATGGCGTGTCTTTAATGGTCACTAGCTGCTTGGATGAAACATCCCAGCTGGAATTATCTGATCCAAGCTGAGAAAAATAATAGACAGAGACAGGCAAGAGTCAGTGTCAATGGTCTTTTTGACCAAATTTAATCAATTAAGAGTGGTTCCTAGGCTAGGATGACCTCAAGCTTATTCTATGATTTAATGCTGACTGTGCTGTAGGTATTTCAACACTGCTCAAACTATTTTCTTAAAAGCTGTGCTTCTGCGGAATGTCAACAGACAACAGCTACAAAGCTTTACAATGAAAAAACAAAATAAAACCAAGAACAAATATTTAAAGGAAAAAATAACTTGCTTGATAAATAAGAACTTATTTCAATGATGATCCATGGGATAAAACTGTCTCTCTATAAGTAACAATGTATCAACACATTTGGTAATAGACCCATACATCTTATGCCTACCCATTGGTAGGCCATAACACCAGATCTAGCACAAATGATAAAGTATATGGGAGCAAACAAGATACTTTTATTTGAAGACTTGGGGTTGAATTCTTCCCAGTCATATAAAATACAACCATGGGCGAGACCCAAGGCGTTCCCCATTTCTGAAAGAGTGAGGAAGAGAAAACATAGCCTATCACAGAGGGCTTGAGTGTGTCCCAGGGAAATATCCTCCCCTTTCCAAGGCCTGAAGGTGTTTCAGTGACATACCCCTGAGCTTGAGCTGCCCTATAATCTTCCTGTCTTGAGTTGACCATTGGCTATGTGGAGCATGGTGACTCTAGTCACCCTCAGATGTATTCCTCATAATTAGACCTCTTTAAATCCCATTGTCTCTTTAAATGTCAAGGCTTTCAGGCTCAGAGGTTCAGGAATATAGCTTTCCTATAGATCCCTTTAGTTTCTACTTCCCAGTGTTGGAGGAGAGAACTAATGAGACAAATATCAAGAAATCTGATTGTGTCTTGATTTGAGTTGAGTAGAAAAGGAGACCCACGAAACATGGAAAGTATCAACACACAAAAGGAGGAAGTCTCAAAAAGGGTTGGGACCTGTCAGAACTCCAAGAATTTCCTAGTCTTGGTGTTTGGTTGCCACAGGGACTAGGCAGGGAGGGAGAGAGCAAAGGCTTGAAAGAAAGTAGAAAAGCAGGAGATCAGAGGCAGCCTCTAGCTAGCTGAGAAGACAAGGAAAAAAAGGTTTATCCACCCATCAGCAGACACCATTCATAGCACCAACATGGTACTGGTTGTTGGGGTATGTCAGATGTTCATCAGTCCATGGATACAGTGTCTAAAATTAGGATTGTGTAAAGGAATTTTAAAGAGTAATGAGATAACCAGGTGCCAGTGGCTCACACCTATAATCATAGCCACTCAGGAGGCTGAGATATGAGGACTGTGGTTCAAAGCCAGCTGGGGCAGAAATTTCCCCATGAGAGGCTCATCTCCAATTAACCACTGGAAGTGGCACTGTGGCTCAAGTGGTAGAATGCTAGCCTTGAGTATAAAGAGGCTTGGGGACAACACCAAGGCGCTGAGATCAAGTCCCACAACTGACAAAAAAAAGGGTAAGGAGACAATAGTGATTTATTAGAACAAGAGTATACATGAAGGGTGGGGCAGTTGGTTCAAGGAAGGTTTGACTAGGTTTTTTTTTTCCTTTAGTTTTTAGGTTTATTTTTTATTTTTATTTTAGTGTCTCTCACTGCAGTCCAAACTGGACTTGAACTTGTGATCCATCTACCTCTCCCAGCTGTTCTCTCCCCTGCCCTGCTCAAAGTTAGGCTTTGATCTTCACTTTACTCTCAGGACTTCAGTCAGTTTGCAAATTCTTCCCCCACTATCCTCCAGTTTTTTTTCATAAAAACAAAAAACATAATTTGTTCCTTTCCTAGAAGGAATTCACATATAAACTAAGACTTATTTTTAAATATTTATAGAATAATGCCATATTTCCATTATTCTTAAATGGTGAAAAATATTTCCCCTAGGATTAGATATCTTTGTTATTGCAATATACATAAAAATTATACTTATAACTATTTTTATGTATATAGTTGTTGCTTAAGTAAATTCGCCTTTTTATGTAGCTATTCACCTCTATCCATAAAGAAACTCTATAACCATTAAGCAACTAGTAACTTCCCATTTTTCCATACCCTAGCCCCATTCTCCATTCTCTCTGTATGAATTTTGCCATTTTAGGAATGTCATGTAAATGGAATTAGACAAGATTTTCTCTTTTGTGACTGACTTCTTTAATTTAGGACAGTGTCCTTAAGGTTCTTTGATGTTAGGACATGTGTCGAAATTTCTTTCCTCTTGGAAAAAAATTGCATGTGTACACCCCAACTTTCCCACCAGTAAATGTTTGATACAGGAAGTTGGCCTGACAGCATGCTGCTGAACAATTGCATCTTCCTCTTCTTTCCTTCCACAGGATATTTGAACTTCTTTTTATTAGTTTTACCATCTAAAAACTGTAATGTATTCCTAACTAGTTTATTATTGATTAAGTCTATTTTTAAATAACTCATTTTGTGGGTATTATTATTGGTACTCTTAGTAGCTATAAATGTAAATGCTTTATTCATATTGATTTTATATGCAGTATATTTGCTGAATTCATTGATTACATCTCAGTGATAAGTGGAATACATAAGATTTTCTAAAGAAAAAAAACATGTCACCTGTTAACAGATATCACTTTGTGATGATCTACATTTCCAATCTGGATGCCTTCTCCTCCATCTTCTTGTCTTTGGGTGAACCTTGATAGGACTTCTGTAGTACTATCTGGAATATAAGTTGTCTAAGTGGATTCCTTTTCTGTTTTCTGACATCTCAGAGGGAATCTTTTTAGCCCTTCACCATTGAGTGTGATGTGGTTTTCATATATGACCCTCCCTGTGTTGAGACAATTTATTTCTATTTCTAGTTTATTGAATATTTTTTAATCATAAAAGTACTGAATGTGTTTCAGTTACTAACTTGGTATCATTTCTCTAATTTAAAAAAAAAGCAATACTAGATATGGTTCTCCTTAGCTCTCTTAACCTCCATTATATTAAATGTTATATCAATTTCCAAGACTATTGGCTCACTAAATCTCTCTTCTGTGCTTTGCAGGCTTCTCTCTGGGTGCCACAGTGCAGTCTCACACCAAAGGAATCTGGATGTGGTGTGTGCCTCATCCCATAAAGCCAAAGCACACTCTAGTTCTGCTTGACACAGAGGGCCTGGGAGACGTTGAGAAAGTAAGGACTGAGGATTCAGTTTTGGATTAAGGCCTTCATTTCTGAATATTCTCCATTCTAAGTAGTTTCTCCTTAAATAAGAGCTTGGATTTAGCCATAATTTGAGTTGGTATTTTTACTAATCTGGCATGAAACTGAGATTAACAACTAGAGGTAAGGAAAAAACATTCCTAAAACAGAATTCTAATGGAAGGGCAAGATGGCCAATGCACAGTATTCTAACTGCTAACAACAGGCTGTAAACTAAGCGAGTAATCCCGCAATATAAAGGCAGTACAGATGCATTTAGGGTCATGGATGTTATTCCTACAGACAACCTGTGTTAAAGAATTGCAGCTGGAAAGGTAGCTCAGTGGTAGAGTGCTTGCCTTGCATGCATGAGGCCCTGGGTTTGATTCCTCAGCACCACATAAGCAGAAAAAGCTGGAAGTGGAGCTGTGGCTCAAAGTAGTAGAGCACTAGCCTTGAGCTGAAGAGCTGAGGGACAGGGCCCAAGCCCAGAGTTCAGGCCCCACAACCAATTAAAAAAAAAAAAAAGTAAAAGATACACGGTTCGACCCTTTTCAAGAAAATGTTTGCAAATCCCTTTCTTTAACCTTTCTATAGGTAACGGTTACAAAGAAAAAAATTTTAACCTGCCCCGGCTCTGTATCCGCAAGTTCTTCCCCAAGAAGAAATGCTTTATTTTCGATAGGCCAGCTCACCGAAAGAAGCTTGGCAAACTTGAGACATTACATGATGATGAACTGGACTCTGAATTTGTGAAACAAGTGGCAGAATTCTGCTCCTATATTTTCAACAATTCTAAGACAAAAACGATTTCAGGAGGCATCAAGGTCAATGGCCCTCGTGAGTACTTTCCCCAGTCCTCTGCTTACTATTAAGCCTAAAAGAACATGAAAAAGCATCCACTAAGTTCATCTTTGAAAAGTAAAAATCTACACTCATTGTGTGAAATGTTAGATGGCACCAACATTTTTTTCACTAGATTTTGTTAATCGAATTTCTTGATAGAAAAGCAAAGGATGAAAGAAAAATAATGCTTCAAATTGGCCTAGTAGCAAAACCTGTCGTCGCCCATAGGATAGCCACTAAACATGTTATGGCTGTTTAAATTCAAATGTAATTTGTTTAACACAAAATTAAAATTTAAATAGTAGATGGCATGGTTGTATTTCAAGAGCTCCTATCTACCTGTGGCTGGTGTGCTGTACTAGCACATTTAGAGAGTTCTCTTAGATAATGTTGTTTTCTTAATAAGCCAATAGAAGATGGCCTGGTGATTAAAGTAACATCTTTTGTTCCATAAATACCGATCAAGTGCTCACTACATTCAGGGCTGATGATACAGACATAAACGAAAGTATATGGTGCCTAATAGTGCTTTGGTTGATGAAGATGGATGTAAACATCCGATAGATACAGGCTTATGTAGTCTAGGCTTGGCATTCTCGTATGACGTACACATCCATCACTAGGGGAACTCAACAGCATCAAGTCTGGCTCGGTAGATCTGGAATAGGGGCTGAGATACTACATCTCTAATAAACTTTGAAGTGATTCTGATGACATTGACACTATAGCAAATATGTGACCTTTTCAGAATTGCACAGGACAGAGATATGACTGCCAATGTAAAACAAACATTATCACCTGATCTGTATACATAGGTCTCCAGAACTTGGTGCTAACCTATATCAATGCCATTAGCTGTGGGGATCTACCATGCATGGAGAACGCAGTTCTGGCCTTAGCCCAAATAGAGAACTCGGCTGCAGTGCAAAAGGCCATTGCTTACTATGTCCAGCAGATGAACCAAAGGGTGCAGCTTCCCACAAATACCCTCCAGGAGCTGCTGGATCTACACAGGGCCTGTGAGAAAGAGTCCATCGAACTCTTCATCAAAACCTCCTTCAAAGATATTGACCAACAATTTCAAAAGGAATTAGCGGTAATTTTTCCTTTCAAGTTTATACAGGTTCAAGTTTTACAAAGAAAAGTTCTATGAGGAAATTAAAATGTGTGTTTATTCTGAGGAAGGGAATTAATGCTAGATTTTAAACTTCACTACTGATAATTATAATAATCAAAAATAATATTATTATGAATTCAAAGTTTTGAGACATTTCTCCTGTCATGAATAAGCTAATGATATTCCAATTAATAAAAATTAAATGCATATAAGTAACAATTCATGGGGATATCCACTGTTATCAAATTGATTTAACATTCAAGCCAAAGACAAAGCAATATTTAGTCTCAGCTGTCTGGGGCAGGTTTTCACTGAGCCACATTTGTATCATGTGCAATCATTGGTCTAATGTGAGAAAGTAATTTATTTCTCAAGGCATGGCATAAAGTGACCCGTTACTGCTTTTACCTTCACTTCCAAGGAGAAAAGGACTTTATTATTTTTTAATGGGGGTCGGAAGGAGGTATATGGACATTTTGTTTTCCTAGAAACCATAGCTTTTCTTCTTGGAGAAATGTTTCCAGAAATCCTAAGATCAATCTAATGTTTTCCCTGTTATTTTCTATTTCTTATGTTTACTTAAAGGCCCAGCTAGAAAGAAATCGAGATGAGTTCTGTACAAAGAACATTAAAGCATCTGCAGATTGTTGCTCAGCTTTAATTCAGGAAATTTTCACCCCTCTAGAAGAAGAAGTGAAACAGGGGATTTATTCTAAACCTGGAGGTTATCGTTTCTTTACTCAGAAGTTACAGGAACTGAAGAAAAAGTACCAAATGGAACCTGGGAAGGGAATTCAGGTAACTAAGATTTATCTGTGTCTCCTAGGAAAGTGTGACAAACCCCTTTAAACAGCAATTTTCACTCAGTGAGATGCGCAGGAGTCTATTATACTAGACCCACTCATATGAAGGTAATCACTTAAAAATCAAGTCACAAATTAAATTATTGTTACTGCCATCTGCTATTATAGCTGAACACTTTATGTTGATTGGAACAGAAACTCACTGATGGACCTCTTACACAACAACAATAAGTCATCAGTTTGGGCTCTATGGTAGCTTTGAATAGCTGGATTTAAGATTTCAAATAATATATCATCTGTCTCTCTCTCCATTACTCTTCCCATCCCCACACTTCTCTTCCTTTTTTCCCCCCCGGTCCTGGGGCTTGAACTCAGGACCAGGCCAATGTCTCTGAGCTTCTTTTGCTCCAGGCTGTTACAACACCACTTCTGGCCTTTTCTGTTTTTGTGGTATTGAGGAATTGAACCCAAGGCTTTATGCATGCTAGGCAATCACTCTACCACTAAGCCACATTCCCAACCCTTTCTTCCTTTCTTCTTTCTTCCTTTTATCTTTCTCCCTTACTGGAGAGTTTCATCCTCCAGTAAGCTTGCCAGATATCTGAATACTGTACCATGAATTCCACTTAGAAACTTCTGCCTAAAAGGACAGAGATTCCATTTTTCTTAGTACAGGATTCTTATAAAGGGCATTGCTAAGTGCTCAATCTAGCCAGTCTAGATCATGTAACCATGCCTGTGATAGGGAATCTTGGCCACTAGACACATCAAAATCAAAAGGAGCAATTAGGAAAGAAATATTGGGGGGACAGGAATAAATATGATACTATTTCTTGATATCAATTCTATATTCTCTGGAATGGAAGGCTGAAGAGATTCTGCAGCAGTACTTGGAGTCTAAACAAGATGTGGCTGATGCACTCCTACAGACAGACCAGACTCTCTCCGAAAAGGAAAAGGAGATTGAAGGTGAGGAACAATCCTAAGACTAGAGGGCCTAGAAAGATCTGAAAAAACTAAGGCAAACATGGCATCACCATTTACCTTTTTTTTTCTTGTTTTTCTTCTTCAGTGGAACGTGTGAAAGCTGAAGCTGCACAAGCTTCGACAAAAATGTTGGAGGAAATGCAAAAGAAAAATCAGCAGATGATGGAACAGAAAGAGAAGAGTTATCAAGAGCATGTGAAACAGTTGACTGAGAAGATGGAGAAGGAAAGGAAAGAGTTGATGGCAGAGCAAGAGAGGACCATTGCTCTTAAACTTCAGGTATCTCAATATATCACCTTCAGGTTTCTTTCTGTTTCCTCTTCACTCTTCATTGTACAAACTGAACATGACAAAGAGAGCTTACAACCCCCTAAGTGACCTTGCCTGCTCTCTTGTGTCTGCCAGACTGTCTGCATTCTGCATCTGGTTATTAAGTGAGCGCAATTGTGTTAAGCTCCACTTTCTTTCAGGACATCCTTCCTTTAAGGACAGAATTCACAGCTATGAAGCATGCAAATTTTTTTTATCACTATCTCTTGCTTAAGACTATCTGAAGGGCTGGGAAGGTGGCTCAGTGGCAGAGTGCTAGCCCTGAGCTGAAGAGCTGAGGGGCAGCGCCCAGGCCCAGAGTTCAAGCCCCACAACCAACAATAACAACAAAAGACTACCTGAAGCAAGAAATGTATCTTTATTACTAAAGAAAAGAAACACAGATGTTGATAAGAATAAGTAACTCTTATTTTAAAAGGCCCTATAGCTGGCTATGTATCTGAGCTACTTTTACTATATGGTAGAATCCATGATGAATTTTTCTATCATACTTGCTATGACCTAGCTCTAAGGAAACCTTTATGAGCAGAACTTCTCCATCTTCATGATAGTCTGCCACTCCTACCTGTCTTCTATGCCCTGCTCCCATTTGTGTTGGGTTGGGAGTTATGTGCAGAAATTCAATCTGGTCATTCTGCAATTATGATCTCCATTCCTATCTTCTCCCACCCATCCAAGGCATAGAGGCTTAGATCAAATTTCCTTCTCTAAAATACATGGATGAGATCTGAAGTAGCAGGGCACTGGTGGCTCATGCCTGTCATCCTAGCTACTCAAGAGATCTGAGGATCTGAGGATCATGGTTTGAAGCCAGCCCAGGCATAAAAGTCCCCGTGAGACTTTTATTTCCAGTGATCTACAAAAAAATCAGAAGTGAAGCTGTGGCTCCAAGTGGTAGAGCACTAGCCTTGAGCAAATGAGCTTGGGAACAGTGCCCAGACCCTGAGTTCAAGCCTCACAACTGACAGAAAAAAAATTTGAAGCCAAACAAAAGGCTTCCTAGTTAGAAAGAAAACCACTGGAAGAAAAACATTGGGAGAAAAACCAACGCTGGTAATTTTAGGCTCATATATTAGGAGGTGCAGCTTAAACGATTTCATAGCTAAAAGACATTCAGATGTTATCACATGCCGACCTGCCTAAGAAGTATAATAAAAATTAAGAATAAAGAAAATGTGGGTGGGGGGAGGGAGGTGTAGTTGTGGAGGTGGGAGGAAAGGGATGGTAGGGGGAAAACAAAGGAGGAGACAACAATGCTCAATAGGAAATGTACTCATTACCTTGCTCATGTAACTGTAACCCTGCTATACAGAATTTTTATAATAAAAACATACAAAAAATTAGAAACACAAAAGAAAATGTTACTAAGAAATTGCATATTATAAATCAATAATTATAAAAACTGTAGAATATGCGTCTATTCAATGTTATGGATCTTAATTATCCATTTATCTTCCTTTTAATGTTTTTTTTAAATTTAGGAACAGGCCCGACTACTAAAAGAGGGATTTCAATCAGAGAGCAGACAGCTTCATAATGAGATACAAAATCTCCAGAAGAGGGTGTCAGAATCAAGGAGTAAATGTGTCATATGTTGAAGACCTAAAGAATAAAGTTTATTTTTTTAAATCATCTTTACTCAAGACATAGCTGAAGCAAGTTTAGAATTTGGAACATATGTCAGTTCACTTAGTAATACATCGGTCTTGTACCATAATACCAAAACATTCAGAACAATATCTGAAAGCATGTTGATCTTCTTTAAAAGATTGTAAATTGTGCATGAATGCATTTAACCTCTGTGCCAATACAAGGGATAACACTGAGATCATTTAGGAGAAATGTAAGCCTCCAAAGGACCACCAGCAGACAGACCTTGAACAAAGTCTTAAGTAAAAATCTTAGCACATAGGCACCAGTTTAACTGAATCAATGGGTCCAAAAATTGAGGGAAGCCATCCTAGTTCTTACTGAAGACATACAGTTCTCTGTTACAAAAAAAGTGTTCCCTCTATTAGAAAATGTGATTTCTAAACACAGGATGGGTTTCCATACTAAAGTAAACAACATTATATAGAAATATGGAATGACTATATAGTCTCCACAAAAAAGATGGGGGAAAAAAGCACACTAGCACGAGAAGGACTTTGATTATGAAGACTTCTTCTTCTTGCTCAATTCATCTAGATTATAACTTTAATGGGACATTTTAGATAGTTGACAATGGATTAAGAGTAACATGGTATTTATAATGTATAGTTTACTCCTAGTAATGTATGAGTTGGAAAGCTGTATTTTACCTTTTATGCAGTACTGAAATTCAAACTCAGGGCCTTGTGCTTGCTAGACAAGTATTCTACTACTTTAACTATGTGTCCAGCCCTGCAAAGGTAAAATTTTCTTTTTAATGAGAATAGCTAAAAGAGTAGGGAGTGGGGAGGAGAAAGCAGAAGAAAACAAGAGAGGGGATAACAGAGTTCAAAAAGAAATGTACTCATTACCTTACTTATGTAATTGCAACACTCTTGTTATAACCTTTACAATAAATAATAAAAAAGACAAAGAAAAAAGATCTACTCTAATGTTTTGTTTGTAAGTGGAAAGCCTAATTAAGCCAGGGTTTTTCTAATTATTATCAGTTAAGTTCAAAATTCTACTGATTTTCCCAGAGAGACTTTGTTTTGATATGTTGTGATCAATAAAATGTTGCTCCTATTATTACTTCATATTCTAATTGCTAAAATTCCAAAGTAAGTGGTTGAAGTTTTTAAAGTCATTAAGAATTGTTTTTAAACTTGTATTTTTCACAAGACTTTTCTTTTTTCTGTTTTAAACTAAAAATAAAGCTCTTAATTTTCATAACAATGGTTGGCTATTTTTTCTGTGAAAAACTAGAATTTAACTATTTACAGCTTGGCAAGCTTAGAATTCTCAACTCTGCCTGTAACACAAACACAGCTATAGGCAGCACATAAATTGGCTGTATTCCAGTAAAACACTATCTTCAAAATAGATACCAATAGTTTGTACACCTCTACTTTACAGAAACCCTGACCAAAGTTCTATATAGCCACTTTATGTTGTTTACATTTAGAAAAATCACAGGAAGGCCGGACATGGTGGCATGTGTCTGTAATCCCACATAAGTGGCTAAAGCAAGAGGCTCACAAGAGACCAGCCTGGGCTACACAGTGAAATTATATGGGTAGGCTACCTATATTAGGAACCTGAAAAAATTATGTGATGTTTCAAGATATTACATGCTCCAAAAAATGCAGAGAAGTAGTACTAAAAGCCCTGGTGCTTTTTCTTCTAATTTTTTGGGGGGTTCGGTCGTGGGGCCTGAACTCTGGGCCTGGGCGCTGTCCCTAAGCTCTTCAGCTCAGCGCTTTACCACTTGAGCCACAGCGCCACTTCCGGCTTTTTTCTTTTTGCTTATGTGGTGCTGAGGAACCGAACCCAGGGCCTCAGGCATGCAAGGCAAGTGCTCTACCATTGAGCCACCTTCCCAGTCCATAATTTTTAAAGGTATGTTCTTACTTTGTGCTTCCTTCCCCTCCTCTCCCCTTCCCTTCCCTCCTCTCCTTCCCTGTCAAATGCCTCCTCACAGTTGACCATGATGCTGCTAAGCAGTATTTCTTCACTTGAACTTGAACTTCATAGTGGTCCAAGCAAGACTACAACACTAGTTTATGTTATATAGATAGATTTTTAACTTTTGTTTCTCAAGTGGCATTGTTACAAAGGAGTAAGATAGTTATTATTAATAATAATAAGTGAAAAATCTTTGTGGTAGAAAAGAGTAACACTGCCTTCAAAACCAATAATGATCTGTTGACTCATGCTTGTATGCTAGCGACTCAGGAAGCTGAGATCAGAAGGGCTTCACTTTGAAGGCAGCTCATGCAGAAAAGTCTACTAAATTTCTTCTCAAAAAGAAAAAAGCCAGCAAAAAAAAATAAGAGACATGGCTCAAGTAATAGAACATGAATTGAGCAAGTACAAATCCCTAAGTTCAAACTTTCAGAAGAAAATAAATAAATAAATGAACAAAGACAACAAAATTAAGCCTTTTGCTTCCTGGTTTAAAGGATCACTGTTCAGCTAAACTTCAAATTCTGTCTTCTGGCTTTGTGTCTCCTTTTTTCAAGAGTGAAAAAAAAATCTTTCTTTAGGGAGGCATGTTGTGCTGTTTTCAATCCTGCTGTGCATGAACATCAACTTATTAAAAAGATTCCCTGCTCTCTGCCCTTGCCCTGGGCTTTCTGACAGGATAGGTCTGAGAGGGTCACTGGGTACAATAAACACAAGGAAAGGGAAAGGAATGCCGTCAGTCTACTGCTGCTGCACAGGCTGCATTGCCTAACATTCAGGTCGTTTTCTGTGTCAAACATAGTTTGAATTTTAATAGACTTTTTAATTGTGTTTGAGCTTAGTTAAGATATCTTTTCTTGTTTAAGATATAAGTTGCCACTTTTCTTTCTATGTTTTTAGTGAAAGGAAATACAAGTTCCTTTGATGTGTGTGGGGAGGGGGGGAGAAACATATCAAACATTGAAATATAAATGAAAGAAGAGAAATTCCTCAAAGTCCAGACTCAAGAATCAAATAGGCCAAGTAGGCTGACTCTACCAAAAACTAGAAATCTACATAAAGATTTAACAAAATATTTTAGTCTTTGATACATCCAATAGGCAAAGTAAAAGTCATCAGACTTTTAGTTCAAACCCTAATACTGAGAAATTACACAGTAATTTCTTAGGCTACAGGGACTTATTTATTTAATAGGCACTAATTAAGTATCTACGGTGTACTCTGCCAAGGACTGGGAAGCATGGTTGTAGTCTGTCTCATAAGGAGCTAACAGTCTAGTATTGAATATAGATATTGAAACAAATATATATATACATATATATATTAAATTAACTACCCAAGAAATTAAGAGGAAGACATCTGTCATTTAGGAAGGAGTTGAGCTACAAACACAACTTGCCAACTGCAGTACGTTCTGTTCCTCCATCCAAGACTGGTTTTGTTGGTTCCACGAGGTCTGAATTCCCTCTCTCCTTCCCTCACTCCTACCATACCTTCTTCTTAAAATACAGGAGGAAGAAATGGGGGGGAAAGACGAAGGGGAGGGAGGATACTTAATAGAAACTCACCTTTTGGAACACTGCCCTCCTCTTAGGAGTGACCCATTGTGCTCTTCCTTTCTTATCTTTCTTTCTAAAGAGGTCATCTGTTTTCCCCCATTCCCCTGCATTCTCCGTTCTTTCACCAGACTGGTTAAACTGTCCTGGAAGGTAACAGACTCTCCCCCACCCCTTCCCAACCGATCTGCAAGCCTGCTTCAGTCTTCGGGTCGGCCGACTCTTGGGCTCCTCCCCAAATCTTCCACCTGGAGCCCACCCTCGTCTAGCCCCCGGGCCCGCGAGTGCACCACCTTCCAAGCCTAGCCCAGGCCTCATCCCAGGTCCAACGACCCCATCTGCCAGATCTTCCAAACCTGCCTTTTTCTCTGTTCCTAGTTTACGGCCCATCTCGCCCGCCCCAACTACAACAAACCCGCTGCCCTCTCCCCTCCCGTTAGCCTCCTTGGCTCAGAAGCCGCACCCACCCTGGTCCACCCGCGCGGGGCAGAACTCCCTGGGCAAGCCGTGCCCGCAGCCCCAGGCCACCACCTAGCCCCAGACCGCGCGCAGCCCCGCCCCGCCCTCCTCCCGCGCAGGAGGAGCTCACTGGGGCATCCAATCTGCAATCAGCTCAGCTCACAGCCAATCAGCAGCCCGCATTCAGACCTCCGGGTCGGCCTAGTCCTAGCTCCCTCCGCGCTCAGTCCGGGGCTGGACTCCAGCAGGACAGCGAGGTGAGTGGGCCGGGGCCGCGGGGCCGGGTGCGCCGGGCCGGGCTGGGACGAGCGAGGTACGATTCACATCCTGATCCAGACTCTCGCTCAGTAGCCACGGGGCCGCTGCAGCTGGATCCTAAGGCAGGGCCTGGGGGGCCGTGGCTGAGGGACCGCCCCAGGGTCCCCCTGGCTTTCCCCGCAGAGCCTGGCGTGGGTGCCTGGCCTCCCGGGAGCCTCTGCACCCCCGTCACCGACCTGTCACCTTTTGTTCTCATTGATTGTGCAATTCGGAGATTCAGAAAGAAAGAAGTCCGAAGGTAGCACTGCTGCGATCCCATGATCAGGTGTGACTCCTCCCAGAAGTGAATCTTAGTGGAGTCCAAAGTGTTTACCGGACAACAGCAAGCCAGTCTCGCCTCTGGGAACGCAGTAAAGGTAGAGGCCCGAGCCTCTGGACACAGAGATCCTTCATCCGAAACAGGGATTGTTAAAATCTGACCTCACGTATGAAAGCCTAGGATTTGCATGCAATAATGATGTGCCCAAGTTGCACCAGGCAGCCAGCTGTCTTCCTTTTGGAGAAACTGATAATTACACAAATCTCAAGTCACTTGAGCATTTGTTTCAACGATTTCTGGATGGACCTCCTTCAATCTTGTGCTGATGAACTTTAGCAATAACTTTGCCTAACAACGTGATGTTGGGTTTTCTCCTTCCTACTTTCCTTTTCCAGCCAGCATTTTGTTCACCTCTTGGATGTTCTCTCTGTTGTAACCAGTGAATATTACAAACCTTTTAGAAGTGGACTAACAGGAAAAACATGAAGTGAAAATAATCTCGCTTAGTGATTTCTTTGATCAATGTGGTCTGTTCTTCTGTAGTTACCCCACTGTGCAGTTATCTGGTGGTAATTCCAGAAGGAATTGCCTTTTCTGCCTACTTATGAGTATGCATACACTCTATACGCATATATATGAAAATGTTTACAGCTTGATATTGATCATTTGAACTTAAATCTAGAGCATTGAACCCTTTTTTTTTTTGGTTGTGGTGGGGTTTGAACTCTGGACCTGGGTGCTGTCCTTCAGCTCTTCTGCTCAAGCTGAGTGCTCTACCACTTGAGCCACAACACTACTTCCATTTTCTGAGTGGTTTATTGGCGATCAGAGTCTCATGGACTTTCCTGCCTGGGCTGGCTTTGAACCTCGATCCTCAAATCTCAGCCTCCTGCATAGCTAAGATTACAGGTGTAAGCCAACAGTGCCTGTCT